AAGATCAAGATAATCGTTCTAATAGTTACGTAGGGATCCTCAAGAGGAGAGATACCTACCGTGGATTAGTCGATATTGGGATTCTTCTTCTCCCAGTATCGGATACGACGTAAAAACTTCTGTGCAATGTGTGTTCTCTGGTTTGAGCAGAGTTTGGTGCTCTGTTTGTGTCTTGAGTGTTTCAGGTACAGGGAAGCTTGAGTACAGGGAATTTACATTGGTGGATCAAGGAAGAAGAAGCAGACGGCAGGCTTAGCTGCATCAAGCAGGGACAATCCCAAACGATTCTCGTTAACAAGTTGGTGGGCTCAAGCCCATTGCTCTGTTTACTAAAACCAATTTTTACCTCATTTCATTTACTTTAATTATTCAGTCACATTAACCAAAGAAAAAGAAAACAAAAAGAGATTCTCGATCCTTCACTTGCTCTGTCAATCCGCTGATTAGGGTTTTGCAGGATTGACGTCCGATCATCAAATGAAGTGAAACCGACGCCGGAGTCTCGCGCTCGACTCTTTCAACACGTGGTATCAGAGCCCGGCTCCGACTTTCAAGGCGCAACCGTCTTTAGAGAAGATGAGCTCGGGATTGGCAGCCAGAATCTTTATGGCAGATGGATTTTCACACACTCATCCTCCAAGGTTCGAAGGTGTGCACTATGGCTACTGGAGAAATCGAATGGAGCTCTTTATAGGATCAACCGATCCAGATCTATGGAACATTGTTCTGGATGGCCCTCTGGAAGTGAAGGAAGCTCGCGGTAATTGGACAGAAGTCGACAAGAGGAACTTTCAACTCAACTCGAAGGCAACAAACCTAATGTATTGTGCATTAGGGCCAGAAGAATACCACAGAGTGACTGGTTGCAAATCAGCGAAGGAAATCTGAGATAAACTGCAGATTGCGCATGAAGGCAATTCTCATGTCAAGGTCTCGAGGATAAACAGCCTCAAACAAGATTTCGAATCATTCATTATGAAGCTAGAAGAATCGATTCAGGAGATGAATGATCGATTCACCACGATAGTCAACAGTCTGAGGAACTTGGAAGTGGAATACGCTAGTGCCGATCTGGTTCGAAAGGTACTCTGGGCATTACCCAAGAAATGGACTCCCAAGGTCACAGCAATTGAGGAGTCTAAAGACCTCACCAAGCTCAGTCTGGATGAGCTGGTCGGGTCTCTTATCACACACGAAGATAAACTGAAAAGACAAGACTTGGAGGAGCCAAGAAGAGAAAAGAAGGGGATAGCGTTCAAAGCTACCACTCAAGAAAATGATCTGGAGTGCTTGCATGAAATGGAAGATGATGAGTTAGCAATGCTCAGCAAGCATGTGGCAAAGCTGCTCAAAATCAGAAGAGAAAGGAAGCGAGGAGGATTCCCCAACAAACCAAGAGATGATGACTTCGACAAAGAAAGCAACAAAGGGGGGCGACAAGGATTTAGAAGTCGAAAGGAAGGAGCAAACAATGAAAAGACTCAGACTCAGGCTGGTTGTTTCAGGTGTGGGAAAACAGGACATATCAAAGCTGAGTGCCCATTAACAAAGAAAGAAAAAGCATTTGCTACCACCTGGAGTTGCAGCGAAGAAGATGAAGAGGAGGATGAACCTAATCCCAAATACAGTGCTTACATGGCCGTTGATAACTGCGAGGGAGAAAAATCTCAGACCTGTCTCCAAGTGAGCATGGAAGGCAGCGTTTGGATACTTGATAGTGGATGCTCACATCACATGACGAGTTATAGAAATCTCTTTTCAAAACTAACTCTGGAAAACAAAGGAAAAGTCTTTTTTGGTGATAACTTCAGCACAAAAATCTTAGGTAAAGGTACAATAGGATTTGTCCTCTCCATTAGTAATGTGCTGCTGGTTAAAGATCTAAAACATAATCTTTTATCAATAGGAAAGTTCTGTGGAAATGAAAATAGGGTCGTTTTTAAACAGAACAAATGCTTTGTTGAAAACATAGTAAGCCATAAACTGATTCTAACAGGCAAACGGAAGGGAAAACTATTTTCAATAGATCTTGAAGACAAATATGCTTTTAATGAAACGTGTCTAGTCTCAGTTGACAAAGATGATCAATTTGAATGGCATAGAAGACTAGGACATGTAAGCATTGGGATTCTATCAAGATTAGTAAACTTAGGTATTGTTAAGGGGGTTCCAAAATTTCTAAGTAAGAAGGAATTCTTTTGTGATACCTGTGCTAAAGGAAAACATACCAGAACTTCCTCCAAAACTAAAACAGTTATTTTCACCACTAGACCTCTAGAACTACTACATTTAGACCTGTTTGGATCTAGCAACGTCATGAGTCTAGGAGGTAAGTACTATTCTTTTGTGATGGTAGATGACTACTCAAGGTTCCCCTGGGTTTTGTTTCTTACCACAAAGGATGAAGCTTATCAAAACTTCAAAGAATTTGTCAAACGGGTAGAAAATGAAACACAGTCCAGAATAGGTAGCATAAGGAGTGACCATGGAGGTGAATTCATTTCTGAAAAATTTGAAAGCTTCTGGAATAAAAAGGGAATAACTCATAACTTTTCAGCACCTAGAACTCCACAACAAAATGGTGTGGTGGAAAGGAAGAACAGGACTCTAATTGACATAGCTCGGACTATGCTAAATGATTATGGGATTCCTAAACAATTCTGGGGTGAAGCAATTAACACAGCATGTTATGTTACAAACCGAGCACTTATGAGACCTAAGATTAATAAAACTCTCTATGAACTCTGGAAAGATAGGAAACCTAATCTGAGTATTTTCATCCCTTTGGATGCAAATGCTTTGTCCTAAATACCAAAGATCACTTGGGAAAGTTTTATTCAAAATCAGATGAATCAATATTCCTAGGGTATGCTGTAAACAGTAAGGTTTATCGTATTTTCAATAAACGGACCCTCAAGGTTGAGGAGTCCGTTCACGTGATATTTGATGAGACTTGCAGTAAGTATGCAGATAGCATCAACGAGGATGATTATCTAGGGTTGGGAACAGCTCATGCAAGTCATGACTCTCAAGAGACTCGAGAAACAGAAAGTGTGCCTCCAGAGGAGAACAACAGTATGGAAGAAAAGGAGAAGGATCATAATCCTCAGGCTCCACCTCACATCGTGTGACGACATCCTCCATCTCTCATTATTGGAGACCTAAGTCGAGGTATGATTACTCGATCCAAATCTTATGCAGAGCATACTACATTTGTGGCCCAGTTTGAACCTAAAAATATTGATGATGCTATAAAAGATGAATACTGGTCAGCAGCTATGCATGATGAAATGAATCAATTTGTCAGAACTCATGTGTGGGACTTAGTTCCTAGACCTAAGGACAGAATAATCATTGGAACTAAGTGGATTTTTCGAAATAAATCTGATGAAACCGGCATCATTACAAGAAACAAAGCTAGGTTAGTAGCTCAAGGATACTGTCAGGAGGAAGGGATTGACTTTGATGAGACCTTTGCCCCTGTAGCTAGACTAGAAGCCATACGATTGTTATGTGCATTTGCTACTTCTCGTGGTTTTAAAATATACCAAATGGACGTTAAAAGTGCTTTTTTAAATGGAGAAATTAAAGAAGAAGTGTATGTCTCTCAACCCCCTAGTTTTGAGGACTCTGAACATCCTGATTATGTGTATAAGCTTAATAAAGCCTTGTATGGGCTTAAGCAGGCTCCTAGAGCCTGGTATGAGAAGCTTAGTAACTTTTTGATTGAAAAGGGTTTTCATCATGGACAGGTTGACAAAACTCTATTCATTAAAAATGAAGGTGAACACACCTTGCTAGTTCAAGTCTACATTGATGACATAATCTTTGGCTCCACCAGTCAAAAACTATGCTCAGAATTTGAGAATGACATGAAAAATGCTTTTGAAATGAGTCTTATGGGAGAACTGACTTATTTTCTTGGACTACAAGTAAAACAAACAAGTCAAGGGATTTTCATAAGTCAAACGAAATATTTACAAAACATGTTAAAACGTTTTGACCTTGGCAACTTAAAAGCAGCTTCTACACCCATGGGCTCCACTGTTAAACTAACACCAGATGAGTCTGGGAAATCAATAGATTGTAAGAAATTTCATGGTATGATTGGATCACTTTTGTACCTTACTGCAAGCCACCCTGACATTATGTATAGTGTCTATGTCTGTGCTCGCTTTCAGAGCAACCCAGAGGAGAGTCATCTTTCAGCTATTAAACGTATCTTTCGTTATCTAGTTGGTTCTCCTACTCTCGGCCTTTGGTACTCTAGCTCCTCAAGTTTAGACTTGATCAGCTACAGTGATTCAGATTATGCAGGGTGTGTAGTTAACAGGAAGAGCACTTCTGGTGGCTGTCATTTCCTAGGGTCTTCACTTGTTTCCTGGTTCAGTAAAAAAGCAAAGCTCAGTGGCCTTATCCACGGCTGAGGCTGGGTATATTGCTGCTGGCTTTTGCCGTACTCAAGTACTTTGGATGAAATACCAGCTTGAAGACTATGGTCTTCAACTGGGTTCTCTTCCTATTCTGTGTGACAACACAAGTGCCATTAACATGACCAAAAACCCAATTCAACACTCTCGTACTAAACATATAGAGGTTCGTTATCATTTCATCTGTGATTTAGTTCAAGAAGGCAAAATCCACCTAGAATTTGTAGGGACAGATTCACAATGGGCTGACATCTTTACCAAACCTCTGCCTATTGATAAATTTCTGCCTATTCGTCGAGAAATTGGAATGATTTCTCTCAAAGAAATAGCGGAAATCCTTTAGGATTTTGTGGCTTCTCAGCTTCCTTATTTCCCTTCAATTCTTTCCTTATAATTCTTAGCATCACCCTCTATCCCGGATAATCAGCAATTATTTGCTAGACCTTCAAAAAGTGAGTGATTCACTTACCCCTTCTTACTCCTTCTCAACCCCTATATCTGTAGGGCATCTCTGTCACACTTCTTCATTCTCAAAAAATACTCGCCCAATTCATAGAATCCTCCTCTCCAATGGCCTTCAACAATGCTCAGCTACGACCTGCTGTTGTGTTCAAAAACCAAAGCTTTCGTAACAGCATAGTGCACTCAAGGTATTTTCGCTGCTTCTGCGATCGTCCCATTTATCCCTCATTCACCATCTCTCCTTCAGCCTTCTCAAAATATGATATGGATATTCCCTCTCTTATTGCTGGATTGGGATGGGAATCGTTGACAGAGGATCAATACTTTCTTCAATGTCCTAAAGCAGTCAGGCTATTCTATGTCAACATTCGTCGTGATCATGGCACTGCACCACGGTCCTTCACCACCATGGTTTATGACCATGAAATCACAGTCACCCCAGATCTCCTTGCCTCTGTTCTATCACTTCCTCGCTCTGGGATTAAGGCAAGTTATGATAGTGATTTTGCTGAACAAGGGTTTGACTTTGATGTCGCCCTTGATCGGTTAACCTATGACATTGGCAAGACCTTCTCCAATCAGCTATCAGTTGGTCGACTTCCAGATGATCTAAAAGTCCTGCACTTTTTCATCACTCGATGCTTCCTTCCCCGCGACATTACAAGTGCTGGGTTACTTCATTCCTTAGATCTCTGGATTATGGGCAATGCTCGTGCTCGTCAACCCATAAGTTATGCGTCACTGATGTTTGCACACATGCTCGATTTTGGCGTCGGTGCCTACAGGGGTACTCTACCCTTTGGACCCCTCATTACTCGCTATTTACATCGCCTTGGCATTTACTTTCGCGACAAGGTAGCAGTGTGTAACGTCCATGATGATCTACGCCCTAATCATGTTCTCGTTCGTCTCGATGCTGATGTTGGGCGTCGTAAGCTTGTCTCTGGCTCAGGGGGAGACGCTAGGCCCTGCTGCTCAGCCTTCTCTCCTGGTGATCCTAGTTCTGATAGCTTGATTACAGCCTTAACTCAAGTTGCAGTCTCAGCCATAGATATTGAGGTCAAGCGTCAAAAAGAGACTGGCAATGGAAGGACCACAGGTCTTCAGGTTTGCAAAGAACGTCTTGAACTGATGGAGGTTGATGAAGCTAGGCCAGCTCCAGATGACTTTGATCCAATCTCATCTGACTCGAGTTATGAAGATGAAATTTCAGACTATGAGTCACCTCCTAGTTACCCGTTCTAGGAACCTGATGTATCTGCTCAGGGGAAGCTACAATTTACCGGTTAGGGAAGTCTAGTAGGGTTGAGTCAATTTATGTGTCCTGTCAGTTAAGTGGTAGTGTTCAGTTTGCCTTTTTCTATTGATTGTTGTTGATTCAAAATCAGAATATGTACTATGTTTCGGTCTCTTGATTAAGTCAGAATAAAAACTTCCCTTGCCATTGATTTCTGTACTTCGCATAGAGCAGACTGCACCAATAGTTTGTTGAGTGTGTGCAGGAAAGAAACTTGTGCAGCAGGAAGAGCCATTGACAAGCTTAGGGGGAGCATGTTAGCTGAAGCTCGTCAATAGGGAAAGAATCAACAAAATCAATCAAGGCCAAAATGGAAGGTTTCAAAGAAGGAAGGTGGAGCAGATTTGAAGGAAATCAAATCATCATCTCACAACGGCTAGCTTGAAGAAAAGAAGCAATATAAAGATGAAGATGATGTAGGGCGCCTAGCAAGTGTTTCTGAGAGTGTAATCAGGATGGTTAAACCTCAGTAGAGGAGTTAGATTGATAGGCAGGGAGCCGATCAGTTTAATCTCTAGAGTGTAATCAAGATCAAGATAATCGTTCTAGTAGTTACGTAGGGATCCTCAAGAGGAGAGATACCTACCGTGGATTAGTCGATATTGGGATTCTTCTTCTCCCAATATCCGATACCACGTAAAAACTTCTGTGCAGTGTGTGTTCTCTGGTTTGAGCAGAGTTTGGTGCTCTGTTTGTGGCTTGAGTGTTTCAGGTACAGGGAAGCTTGAGTACAGGGAATTTACATTGGTGGATCAAGGAAGAAGAAGCAGGCGGCAGGCTTAGCTACAGCAAGCAGGGACAAGCCCAAACGATTCTCGTTAACAAGTTGGTGGGCTCAAGCCCATTGCTCTGTTTACTAAAACCAATTTTTACCGCATTTCATTTACTTTAATTATTCAGTTACACTAAGCAGAGAAAAAGAAAAAAAAAATAGATTCTCGATCCTTCACTTGCTCTGTCAATCCGCCGATTATGGTTTTGCAGGATTGACGTCCGATCATCAAACGAAGTGAAACCGACGCCGGAGTCTCGCGCTCGACTCTTTCAACAAATCATTGACTACAAGTACTTTGGAGATGTTCTATGTTTTGATACCACTTATAGAACTAATGAATATGGTCGACCTTTTGCTCCATTTGTTGGAGTCAATCATCTGAAGCAGACAGTGATTTTTGGGGCAGCTTTACTTTATGATGAAACAATCACATCCTTCAAGTGGTTGTTTGAAGCATTTTTGGGGGCAATGGATGGAAAGCAACCTAAGACCATATTGACAGATCAATCAGCTGCAATGGCCAAAGCAATTTAAGAGGTATTTACTGAAACTCATCATCGTTTATGTGTTTGGCATATTTATCAAAATGCTGCTAAACACTTGAGCCATGTGTTTCACGGATCCGACCAATTCGCTAGTGATTTTAGTTCATGTATATATGATTATGAAGATGAAGATGAATGGCTTAAAGCTTGGGATGCTATGCTTAACAAGTATGATCTGGGGAACAATGAATGGTTGCATGGGATATTTTCAGGTTAAGAAAAGTGGGCTATGGTTTATGGACGTCATATCTTTACTCCTTATATGAAGAGTACACAACGCAGTGAATCACTGAATAGCGTGTTGAAAAAGTACCTGAAGCCAAAACACAATATGGTATACTTTTTTTATCATTATAATAAGTTGGTTGAAGATAGAAGGTACCAAGAACTACTTGCAGAGTTCAAAATGAGGGACACCCGACCAGTGTTAAAAGCCGATGTTGAGATGTTAAGGCATGCATCAGAAGTGTACACTCATAAAGTCTTTAAGTTGTTCGAAGAAGAATATCTCAAAGCTTGGGATTGTACGATTGATAAGATTGGAAAAAACGAAGATCATACAGAATATAAAGTGAGATATGTTGGTAGAGGTGCAGGGCATCATGTCAGGTTTCAGTCTTCATCTCAAGTAGTTCAATGTAGTTGCATGAAGTTTGATTTTGTAGGGATTTTATGTGCTCATGCTTTGAAGGTTATTGACAAGAAAAATATAAAGCATATCAAAGAGATGGAAAAAAGATGCAAAAGATGGAGATCTGCGAAGTTCAGTTCGGGTGCAGGGAAGTTCTGAGGAACTCATTAGGAAGCGTTACTTCAATTTGTATTATAATTTTCGAGAGATATCTACACTAGCAGCTGAGAGCAACGAAATGTATGAGCATGCAAGCGAAGTTCTTTCTAGTTTGCTGAAGAATTTGCAGGAAATGAAAAAAAATTCAAATAGTGGAGCTTCTAATGAGATATTATGCTCTAATCATGAAGAAGAGCATACAACTGTAGCTGGAGTGAAGTCAAAGGCTACTGTTAGACGACCAAAAGGAAGAATTAAAGTGCTTTAGAGCGACGAAAAAGTCACAAAGTTCAATCAAAACCACAGGTTCTTTTTCCCCCTTTTTTGTTTCTATAATATGAAACTATTATAGTATTTCCTTATATATTATTTATTAGATATCATTCTATGCAGGGTAAGAAGGTAAAAGGTAGTTCTTCTCAGCAAGTAGAAAGTAACAGTGAATTACGAATACAAAATAATCAGGTTTTACTTTGTCTATTTCATGATAGTATTTTTTATAATGAGATATAAGTGAAACTATCCTATGAATCATATCTTAACAATTGGTTAATTTTAGATGACGAACGAACATCAACACCAAAGTTCAATTATTAGTTCAGCTGGAGATAAGTTTGATTCTACATCTTCAGTACGCAATATATCATTCACACAATTGTTAAAGGTATGAAATTAATTTGATTATGTATCTATTTAGTATTTAGTTTGATTCTATTAAAATATCTAGACTAATATAATTCTATCTTAATTCATTTTGCAGGATGCCATAACAAATCCACACATACACGGTCTTGAATAGTGGCAAATTTGTTTTTCTTAGTACTTTAGTAGGATTATTTTTATGTGGGAAGAGATAGTTTGACATAATTTCCTTTGGCATTTGGTGTAGAAGAATTTCCTATTAGCATTTTTTTGTACAATTCATTGGGATGCCTTGTCATGAATAGTGAGTTAAAGTCTCATGCTTCATATATATTGGTTATGATGATTTCTCCGTACAGTAATAACAAAATTATCTCATATCATAGGAAAGCCATCATGTTTTGGTCAGAAGAGTTTCATATTCTAATTTCTATCTATCTAAACTTCTCTGTAGATAGAATGTGTTGTATTACTGTAAATAATATTATATTATTTCTCTTGTTTTCATAGATAGCGTAATAATAACAACATAAGGTAGCGTAAATCAAACTACCAAACTAGACACGATAGTCGACGAATAAAAATTAAATCAATGTATAAAAGCGAAATCTAAAATGATAAAAGAAACGTAATAAGACCTTAAGGAGGTATGATGAAACTTTACAATTAAAATAGAGGACGTATGCAAAAAAACCCTAAAGGAAAAATACATTTTTTAATAATTTTCCCACTTTAATTGATAAAAATTGATAACAATAATATAAATAAAATAAAAAATAAAGCAAAGTGAATACCTTGACGTCGGACAGCTCCTCCGTCCAGGTCCCGTCAAAGAAAACGCATCCAAAATTGTTCCGTCCAAATTCAGCATCCTCCTAATAATTAATTAACAATTGAACCAATCACATAGAGCCAGCAGCCAAATTTTAGCATTTTCGTAGTGGTAGTGTTTTTTCGCATTGGTATTGTTTTTTTCCGCATTGGTAGTAATTTTTTCGTAATGGTAGTGTTTTTTCCGCATTGGTATTGATTATCATATAAGCTTATTGCTTTTTAGTGAAATGGTAGTGTTCTTTTTCTGTAGTGGTAGTGTTTTTCAATTGGTATTGTTTTTTTTTTTTTTTCTTTTTTGCATTGGTATTGATTAACATGTAATAGTATTGATTTGCATGTATTGATATTGATAAATCTGCAATGGTATTGGGATTGTGTGAAATGGTAGTGTTTTTATTTCTCGAATGGTATTGGTGTTTTATGCATTGGTAGTGTTCTTTTAATGGATTGGTATTGTTTTATTGTTGCAGCGGTAATAGTTCGCCTAAACAAAAACAAGGAAAAGATTGAGGAAAAAAAAGGAAGAGAGATCTAGCTGAAGATGGTGGAAGTGAGAGGAAGAGAGAGAAAATTGTAATTAATATTTTTTTTAATTTCCAAAAATATAATTTATTAAAAAAATAATTAATAATTTTTTTTCATACCCAATTTGTCCTTAGTAATCACCGTCACCTGTCCGGCATATTCACTACACTAGAGTGGTCTAACTTCCACGCAATTCGAACAACTCTGTGATGGCCATTGGCCAACAAAGCCCGATTAAGTAGTCAACAATTAATTCCTAGTGCTCAATAGGCGCTGCATATTTACGCCTGCACAAGTCATCCAGCGAACTGGGTAGAAGAGGGTCACTGGGCATGGGGCAACCACAGAGCGAGCCAAGTCGAAGCTCGCAAGTAGGAAATGCAAACACAGTCCTAGCATAGGGAGAACAATATATAGCTAGCTGGTCCCAGCTACAGTCTTTTCCAAACGTAAAAAACACTCATAGGAGTTAACAATGTAGCTAGCTGAATGTTGTCTCAAAGGACCATCCATAAATGGGGTATTGCAGATGATGGACGACAAAACTCCTAAGCATAACTGGAAGTTGTTGGCCGAAAAAATGACATCGAGCATCATCAATCTTGTCTCTGCAATCAGACTATCTCCGGCTCTGTCTTCTTACTTTTGGCCCTTCCTGTTCCTGTGGTCTATGAAAATGAAAAATCAAGGTGGGTCAACATAAACTAATGTGTAACCTTCCCTCAGTGAGGCTGCTTCTCTATTAAGAACACATCTAGTCTAGTCTAGTCTATCATTTCCAAGGCCCTAATAACAAGCTAAACAAGGTTTTCTTCAGCACCTTCAAACAAGTCTAGC